AGATGGGGTTTCACTGTGTTGACCAGGCTGGTCTTTTAACTCCTAAGCTCAGGTGATCCGCCTGCCTCGGCCTCTCAAAGTACTAGTATTACAGGCGTTGAGCCACTGTGCCCGGCCTACATGAACATTTAACCTGTGTAATTAAACAGTCACCGAGAATATCATTTTTAATGACTGCATCCATCTAGAGATGTGCCATAATTAAGCAATCCATTACTATTGTATATTTCCATTATTTTCATTTTTCCTATTATAAATAAGAGTGAAATGAATATACTTGCAGGTAAATCTTTGTGTACTCAAATATTTTATGAGTACTTGTATGCAATTTACTTTGATTAAAATTATTGCATCAAAAAATAAGATGTATAAATAGAGGGATCAACATAAAATAAAGCAAGCACAGCAAAATGTTAATGGTAGACTTTAGGTGGTTTAAGTATATAGATATTCACTGCAAAATTCTTTCAACTTTTCCATATGTTTCAAATTTATTGGGAAATGTTGGAAATGAAAAATGTTGAAAAAAATTACATTTTATGAGGCTAAATTCCTAGAATTGGACTAGATTATTCATAGTATGTGCACATCTTTAAACTTTGTGAAGTTAAAACATCAACCAGAAAGTGTCAGTTCCCTCACACTGTCAACACCACTTTTTAGTGCTTTTCAAATCTCTGCCAACTTGTTAGGCAAAAACTAGTAATTCATTTTTGAAATCATCATTTCTATGTTAATTTTTAAAACTTTTTTTAAGTTAATATATAATGAATTGAAAAGCTTCCTAATATGCTTGGCTTCAAATTTGATGTTGGTTATTGGAACCATGAAGCAGTAATCAAGATTCAAGCACCCATCTGGGGGCACTTAGCTTATTACCAAGCACAATACTCTCAAGAATAACTTGCAAACCAAATTATAAATAGGTGAAAGTTACTTGCAGGCCAGCATCATATACAGGCAAGGGGGCTGATGTCTGATTGGCAAATGGGCCTGATTTAACATGTTCTGGGAAACAGTTCTTCCTGCACAAAAAAAAAGTCACCTCTTTCATTTTCCCAGGATGCTCAGAATTCAAACACTAGTGATTTCTTCTTTTGTGTTGAAATAATTAGGTCCTCACCAATCCTCTTTGAAAAGTCAAGTATTCTATTTCAATATGAGTGCCATATAATTGTGGTGCTTCCATAGGATGGAATGGAATGGAGTCACTATAGAGAACTATGGAAATCTGCATGTACTGACATGGAAAGATGTCCGTGATATACTCGTTCATTGAGAAAAAAAAAAAAAAAAAACAAGTATGTATATGTGTGTACATGATAGAAATATGTGAAAGGATACTTACTAAAATGTTACCAGTGGTAAACTACTGAAGGACATATGGGACATTTTAAAATCCTTTTTATATATTTCTCTATTATTTATTTTTATAATGGGCATATACAATTTTTTTCACAAGAAATACAATAAGGTTGTTTGCATTTCAATAAAAAGAAAATTGAAAATATCTCAGAAAACCACTCAGTCATTAGTACCATAATAAAATTTGGTTTAGCAAGATTTTCAAGTCAAGGTTAAAGTCTCCTAAGGAATAAGATCCAGATTCAACATATTTTCAAGGGAAAAGGGAATAAAGGCAGAGCAGGCAAAAAGGTCTCCAATCAAGTATTAAGCAGCCTGGGGCTAGGGCTATATTATCTTCAGGGAATTTTACTTGGAAAAAATAAATAAATAGACAACAGAGGCATCTGTGGTATTCCGGTCCAAGAGAAACCAAAAGTATGATGGCTCACTACAATCTGGAGTCAGAGTGGATCTTCTATAACTTTACTACAATTCTTGCTTTCAGTATTACATAGGAAAATACCTCCTTCTCCTGCTACAACAGGCCCAGGATCCAATGGCAATTGGATATCTCTCCAATGGGAAGAAGTTTAAAGTTTTTAAAATATTTACTTAACAGAATTAAAGTATTTTATTTCAATATGAGTGCGATATAATTGTGGTGCTTCCATAGGATGGAATGCAATGGATTCATTAAAGCATACATTTTTAAATGTATACTTTATGGAGACTGAAAAGAAGAGCGTGACACATTAAACTACTCACCTCCATGGGAGGACATGTCTGTCCATGGGTAGATGCTCCTGGATGTGACATCACAGACCCACTCTTAATTTGAAAGTGTATTTTGCACAGGTAGCCATCAGAACAGTCCTGTGTTTTACCACCAAAAAATATATAAGAAAAAGTCAATTATTTTAAGAATTCATCATTTTAACAACCACTTCCCATAAGTTCCAAACTGATCAGTGAAAAACTAAATGTACTAAATGAGATGAGACTATATGGATAAAGAGACTAGTCCAACACCCTGCACATAGTAAGTACTCAATAAATGCAAGTTTTATTCTCCTACCTTTCTTATTTATTAATGATGTTTCCCCCTCCTAGATTAAATCTTTCCCTTTTTTTCCTCACTAGTCCATAGCACCAAGATCACAGAACAAAAATTAAGCTTATAGAAATAGCTTGTCACATAATTAATATTGATTTTCATGGCCTACCCATAGAGAACAATTTCAGGACTTGCAATAGATCTCAAAGCTGCAAGACAGCTTCCATTTCAATTTCTTTCTCACGGCTAGATCTCTATGAAAATGTCCCAGAAAGGTAATTATGCATCTCAGCAACTGCCTGAGCACCTCCAGGAACTTGGGCTTGTTACTCCCTTACACAGCGGTCATTTCCATTTTATTGCATTGTACATTAAGAAAGTTTTGTCCTGTATTTCACATCCTTTAACTTTAACTTACTTAGTTCTGCCCTCTGAAGTCTAATCCCTTTTCCACACAGCTGTTCTTCCAAGAGCTGAAGAAATGACCACCATATGCAAATACTCCTTACAAGATATGGCTTCTGAGCCCTTTACCAGTATTTGTCTCCTGCTTCTTGTACTTGCTCTTAAATACACTAATGAATGATGTTCATCTAATTGTGGCCAGTTCCATTTTTTTAAGGTAACACTTGTTTGAATTCAATAAAATCATGTGTAAGAATATAATACCTCCCCAAGCACAAACATACATGCCAATAAATATTAATTCCCCACCAAATTGTCACACCAACATTTACATTTTAATAGAATTAAAATAACAATAAGGACTAAGGGGTTAATCTTCCTATAAGAAGAGGGAAATTTGGATGCAGTGACACAAACAGGGAAGAAAGCCATGTGAAGATGAAGACTGGAGCCACCGCTCCAGTCTTCTAGCATCTAGGAGCTAAAGAATGCCAAGGATTGCCATCAGCCACTGGAAGCTAGAAGCAGTAAGGAATGGTCCTTCCCTGGAGCCTCTGGTGGGAGCAGGACCCTGCCAACATCTTGATTTCAGACTTCTTACCTCCAGAACTGTGAGAGAATAAATTTCTGTTACTTTAAGTCTGTGGTACCTTGTTACAACATACCTAGGAAACTAATACAGTAACTCTATTTTTTGAGACACTTGGCAGCACCTTAAGAATGCCTCCCAGTAAGTTGTGCTGACAAACTGCCAGCTCTCACTCATGGGGCTGCACTGGCTAGTTGTTGTCAGCACCAGTTTTGATTGTTTGGATCCAACTCATTCTGATTGGTCGATGCCGCTGTCACAGGTTGTTAAATATTTTTAATATCATTCCCGCCTGGAAAGTAGGCCATCAGATATCCAATACTGTCACTTTTAATTATTTCATTAAGGATATCCATTTTGTAGATGGAATTACTGTTTTAAATTCCAGCTCTACACTATCTCACCACAAAGCAGATCCTGTAATGGTCTTCCACCATTGAAATCTTTGTATTTAGAAAAATGTAAATTTAACATTGGCTTAAACTGAGAAAGATATATGTAGTGACTGTTGTCATTGCCACTTTCACATCAAACATCAATTCTTCCTTCTTTTGGAGCAGTACTAATTGCTCCTCTAAGGAACCATTTCCTGATTGAGAAGGGAATGGTTCCTTAGAGGAGCATTGGCTACTGTTCCACTAATTACAGCTCCAGGGATAGACACAGGTCTCCAATCTTGCCAATCAGTACTGCTGGCCTCAGAGACTCTGGAGGACAAATGATCTACAATCACAGCCAATGGGATGAAATTCGGGATTTGGTTTGGGGGGTTTGGGAAAGATGGCTGTTCTCTTTTCCACTAGGTTTGAGCCAGACAGACCACAAAAAAAGAAAAAAAAAAAAAAAAAAAAAAACTGGCAGGCATCATGTAATTCCTCCGCAACTCAGAGGAAAGCAAGACCATGAGATGCAGAGAAACCAGATTCTGACTACATTATTTATACCAACCATATCTGAAACTAGTTCTACCTCAGATTTTTCAATTACATGTCCCCAAAACATCCCTTCTTTGCTTCACCCAATGGGTTGGGTTTTCTGTCACTTGCAACCAAAATAATTTTGCTATTTAGTAACATAAATTGTATTTAACAGCTTAAAAATAGAAGATTTCTATTGCATTGTCAATCTCACTGTGATAGATAATCAATAGTTGATTATATAAAAGATTTACCATATACAGTTATGCATCACTTAACAGCAGGAATACCTTCTGAGAAACATCATTGGGCTATTTTATCATTGTACAAACATCATAGACTGTGCTTACACAAACCCAAATGGTATGGCCTCCTACATAGGTAGGCTATATGACATAGTTGCTTGCTCCTAGGCTGCAAACCTGTACAGCATGTTACTGTATTAATTGCAGGCAATTGTAACAAAATGGTAAGTATTTCTGTATCTAAGCATATCTAAACAAAGAAAATGTACAGCAAAAATACAGTATTATAATCTTATAGGAACATTGTACATGTGCTCTGCCCTTGACCAAAATGTCACTATGCAGCATGACTATACAGTAAAACTATAATAGCACGTGTTTGTGAGAAAAATTACTCAAAGTCTGCAATTTCAAAATGATCTAGCCACAGAGATAAAAACCGAAACTCTCAGGATATTCAGAGAACACAGAGCTGCACTGTGTGTACTAAATATAATTCATTAAATGAGGGTAACTGCTGTATTTTTTATTTTTCTATACCTGAGCCCTGATCACACAACCTCCTCTTAAGAGAACATAAAATTTAGTAAAATTCTAATTAGAATGCAAAATATATCTCCTTTGACATTAAAAGAGGTGAGTCAAAAATTCTTGTGCACCTATGTTATAAAATCTAAATAAATTATCTGGTCTCTTTCCCAATGAGTTAAGATAAAGAATATGTCACTTTCAATATTGCTTATCATTTGAGGAATTTACTTACATTTTAGGTAATTTCTAAAACCATTTTTTATTATCGATAGGGAGGTACACTGGTTTTTTTGCTCTATATTTGGTAGTGGTGATTTTTTTTTCAGTATCAATCTTTTCAGTCAAGATTAGCCTTGAAAAATTAAATATAGAGTTTTTTGGATTTTGATTTCCCTTTAAACACTTCCACAGAACTAGGTCTTTCTCCTACTTTGTTTTAATTTAAGGCAGAAAAATATGTTTTGTTCTTCACTGTTGAAGGATGCTTTTTTAGAGACAAGGAAACTCAAAAGCATGAGGACCACCACTCTGTGTTAGCCCTGCAGTCATCTAGCCCAGTAAACGATGTTAACTCAAATTTCCCCTTGGCAATGAAGTTTTCCTGACAGTTTCACTTAACACTCCTCTCTAGTTTCCCTGTATTCTTTTTGTACTTATCATAGCTTACACTTGAACATTTAACTCTTCTTTAATTTTTTTAACATTTGTTAGTTTTATTTCTCCCACTAGATCATAAGCTTATGGCCTAGGCCTCCATTCTCTAAAGGATGACAGGGTCTTTATAGGATCCAGATTCCATTCCACGTAAAAACCTGATCCAGATAGAGTCTGAAAACATCCTGGACAAGCATGAGAGGATTTAAGAACAAAGGGAACCTTCAAGTTTATCCAATTCAAGCCTCTCATTTTAGAGATAAGAGGGTGAAGAACTAAAGCACTTCTAAGAAACTTATCTTACACTAATTAGTTGGAGGCAGAGCAGGAAGTGGAAAGTGGATCTCTTGACCTGAGTATTCTTTCTAGTACACAAAGCAAATTCTGCAAGAGAGCAGGACCATGCCTTATTGACTCTCGTGGACTGGTGTGGGCCAGTGCTTTGCACTTTAAATAACAAACTCAAGCCACTCAAGTGTGCTCTGGGGACCAGTCACAGCATGAGCTGCGAGCTTATTAAGACAGACATGCAGAATTTCAAGCCCCACCCCAGACCTCCTGATTCGGCATTTAAAACATAATCTCTAAAAAGAGCCTGCATTGCCAAGACAATCCTAAGCCAAAAGAACAAAGCTGGAGGCATCACGCTACCTGACTTCAAACTATACTACAAGGCTACAGTAACCAAAACAGCATGGTACTGGTACCAAAACAGAGATATAGACCAATGGAATGGAACAGAGTTCTCAGAAATAATATCACACATCTACAACCATCTGATCTTTGACAAACCTGACAAAAACAAGAAATGGAGAAAGAATTTCTTATTTAATAAACAGTGCTGGGAAAACTGGCTAGTCATAAGTAGAAAGCTGAAACTGGATCCCTTCCTTATACCTTACACAAAAATTAATTCAAGATGGATTAGAGACTTAAATGTCAGACCTAAAGCCATAAAAACCCTAGAAGAAAACCAAGGCAATACCATTCAGGCCATAGGCATGGGCAAGCACTTCATGTCTAAAACACCAAAAGCAATGGCAACAAAAGCCAAAATTGACAAATGGGATCTAATTAAACTAAAGAGCTTCTGCACAGCAAAAGAAACTACCATCAGAGTGAACAGGCAACCTACAGAATGGGAGAAAATTTTTGCAATCTACTCATCTGACAAAGGGCTAATATCTAGAACCTACAAAGAACTCCAACAAATTTACAAGAAAAAAACAAACAACCCCATCAAAAAGTGGGCAAAGGATATGAACAGACATTTCTCAAAAGAAGATATTTATGCAGCCAACAGACACATGAAAAAATGCTCATCATCACTAGCCATCAGAGAAATGCAAATCAAAACCACAGCGAGATACCGTCTCACACCAGTTAGAATGGCGATCATTAAAAAGTCAGGAAACAACAGGTGCTGGAGAGGATGTGGAGAAATAGGAACACTTTTACACTGTTGGTGGGACTGTAAA